AGCGGGTACCAGTATTGGGGCACAAAAATCCGGGTAATGGCATGGTTGGCAATTGGTTGGCACGGCAATTGCAAAAAAATCCCCAGCCCTAATTGCTGTATCGAGGTTTACACAAAGTAGAACAATATACGGTGTTGGTATCAAGGAGTACATTTTTTGTAGAAGTCCTATAACTAGATTCTGCGTTACTAAACTGTCCCTGAAGTCTACATGGGTACCAGAGCAGGACGTAGCTTGTACAAATCGTTCAACCGATCATAATAGATAGGTGGGTTCCTTTCTGGCCTCGGGCAATGGGTGAGCCCAACTTCCCCACAGTAGGGCAGTATATACCAGCGGGGTCCCGGTTTGTCTGACTCCGCGTGAGAATAGAGCATGCATGGTGAGGAATCTGCACAAATATGGACTGTGGAACTATAACATTAGTTGCGGTTCCAATAGAAAACCCTAGTACTAGGGGAATCACCACCAGTACTCGAACACGCTGCTTGAGACATCCATCAAACTAACATGGGAAACGCTTCAACCAGCCAAAGGTCTACGAACGCTCGAATGTCACAGCCGATGTCTTGAGCTTCGCCCAAATTTCGCGACCAATAAAGGGCAAGGAAACAGCGTGGTCTAACTATGATAGTGAAAGTATTTAGCGTCTACTACTATAGCCCTGGAGTGTCTTCTTTGGTACGGATGGACCCAGTTGATGTAGTGTACACTATAAGTCCTCGACACGTTTAGAAAACTAACCAAACCACAAACTTTTTGAATGAAATTGATTTATCATCACTACATTGCAACGGGATATGCTACTCATTATTTAGGTGGGATAAACCCTCACAAGTTCTGGAATCTGGGAGTTAAACTATGGGCGAAAAGGCTAAATGTTAGTTTTATCTTTATTTTTTAATTTTTCCAGGTACAGGTGGGTGGGCCCGGCTGTGTGACCAGTTTAGCACTGTTATAGTTGGTGTTCTTCCGGATGATTTTCCCTTATTTCTCTTATGTGATCATTTTGTTTGCTTTAGGCCTGTTGAGTGAATGCATTGTACCAGTCAGCCAGATGGATCCATCGACATCTTTATTTTCCATAGGCTTTACCTACTCACACTCACTTAGATTTCCATACCCGAGTCATCCCTTTATACGACGATTCAGTCATTATTTTATTACTTAATGCTTGTATAGTCTCTCCATCAGAGAAAACATTCAGATTGCCTGTAAAGAAAAAATATAAATAGCATATAGGCGTCCTTTGAGATTACATAATGATTTAGCGCCTCACACTCACACCACACATTTAGTAATTTAATGTACACAATGGCTCATAAACTCGTCAAACTAAACCTCGCTTAGACTACAAAGTACACACCTGCCTCTTTTTGTTATTCATTTGGTACCAACAACGGCGAGCTAGGAATTCACCTTCGGAAATGCGGCTAACAGCTTAACACATTTTAAAATCTTATTTAAAACCAGAAATTATCCGTGTGATTTTTTCTCTATCCTCAGAAGGTTCATCGCCCACTAACTTAAGAAAAGTTCGACAAGGAGTGGAGCCTTAAATTTCTTTATATGTCAACTTCTGTATTATTATACTTTCAACCAAATTTAACTTCTATGTTAGAATTAGATATCACCAAAAAGACTAATCCCAAACTCGTTAACGCATTACTATAATAAGCGATGAGAAAACTAGTATAACAACCAGAGATGAATTTGATATACCTGTCTTATAAAATATATTAGTATATTGGTTAAACCTAAGAAAGAATTAAATATTAGTCGGACTTTAAATTTATAATAGGGCTACAATCGAAATCTTAAAAAGTTGGAATTAATATAACATACTAAAAATATTAATTTTCTTTTAATTAGAGTAATAATGCTATCTCGGGCTTCACGTTAACATGGCTACGCCCATTATTTCGCGGGGATCATTTCTGGGCGATTAGTTTCGAACCATCTCTATAATATTGTTTCCTCCTTTTGACATAAATGATTTGGATCTTCTAATATTTTCATTTAACTTAATAATATAACAATAAAACTAATATAATTAATCTACACTATATTATAAGTAAAATACTTTTCCTATAGGTCAGTAATGTCATACATAGGTAATATCTTGCGTGTACACACATCTTATCCACTTTGACAGCATTTTCTAATACAATCATCTGTGCTTTCCAAAGAGAAACTATTTTAGGAGCGTCTACGTTTTCACATCTGTCACCTCTCAATACACAACATTAAAAGCACGCAGATTGCATTTGGTGCGAGTCCTCATCATGCTCTTTTCTTATATTTTTGGTTCTTGGCAGATTATGACATTTAAGCCACTCCGCCACAGCACGGAGAATGAGTCTCTCATGACCTTAACTGGACGGAAATGAAAAATGCAGCTTATTAATTCTCTTTTTTAAGTTTATCTCTCACATACATCATGGGGACCCCGTGGTTACGGAACCCATAGCCAAAGAACGAAGAACATAGGAGGATAGTGATCTCTGTTGTGTTCTCAACTATATGTTAACTATCTTAAATCATATCATACTACGAGGCTCCTCACCTGCGCCAGGCGGACTGGCAGGCTTCTTGCCGCCGGTGGCCGTGGCCGGATAATTGAGGTGATCAGCGGTAGAATTCCTATTTTCATGATTTTGATCGACCTCCCTACGGATTCCCCAGGGAGGACTTAAGGTTAGCAACGATAATGAGTACCGCTCCCCACCACTAACTAAAATCTAGACGTGCCTAACCAATATCTTGAATCAGTTACGACAGTTTATCACTACATGAAATTATGATCAGATCAATCATATAGAATAGTGTTAGTACGTCATTACTCTACCTAGGACATGGCATATTATTGGTTTTAAACTCTTTCTTTCTAATCATGTTGTTGACTTCTTGCACCACCACTGCTCTGTTTGCATCACCCTTTTCGCCCTAGCTTCATCGTTTTCCCGCCCTTTCCACCTCACTGTGCAATGCCTATCTCTTCACCATCGTGTTTCACATGATTCTAGACTCCTAACAGCTTTTCTTCTTTCTACCTCCTACTTTATTCCCCAGCCACACCTCGGTCAACATTGGTAGACCCATTTCAACACCCACCATTCTATGTCCCACGAGTGCCTCCACTCTCGTTACTTTCCTGCTGCCACTCTTTTTTAGTGTCCCACTAGGTCCAAGTCTCCAGCTCGCACCTGGAACTTATTATTTTCCACTAGCTACCCCATTACATTGGAGTCACAGATGAATACCTCGCATAGCACCACTATCGTTCGGTACTCCCCCATTTTCCAATCGAGGTTTGTCAACAGTGGTGTTATCGTCGGACCGTCGACACGCACCCTCAGGCTTGGGCAGCCCGCCCCCCCAGATGTTAAACACGCTCTAGCCACCACCGTTGTCACTGATGTTCGGGGGCGGACGCGACGGGACATATAGAAAGTGAGATATAAGCATCGCCCTCCAGAGGATTTATTACTGCCAATGCAGGTACTTCTGAGCGGCGGGCGGGGGTCGAAAAATATATAGTGGTGGTTATAGGCGGTATAATTATTGATGGTAAAGAAATACAGCATTCGGATTATATCGTATGGATTTCCAACGTCACATTTTTCTAGGGACATGTTAGGGTTTAAAGCTTTTATGAAAATAAAACCATAATTCAACGAAGGAATAAAATTGGAACGATGTGCAAGTAGGCGTGGCCCTGACCACAGGGGGCATGTGGTAGGAAATTTCAAGTTCCTTACATAATGGGCGGTGGGGTTTGAGTACGCATCCGATCGGCGGACGGTAATGCTACAAAGTCTGTCGTTATAGGGCAAAAAGGAAAAATGAGAGCATGCGCAATCGAACAATATAAAAATTGAGGCTTCTGCGAACTATAGGAATACAGCCGCAGTAAGCGAAACGGGATCGTATGAAGTTTCAGAGGGTAACCAAGCGGTTTCACCACGGAGAGCTGGAGCGAAGATGCAGAAAATGGTCATTAAGACTAGACGGGGAAAAAAAAGAAAAGGCCGAAAGGTTGAGGCGGAGAGGAGCACGGAGGTCTGAGGGGCTTCGGCCACAGGAAAAATGTAGATGTAACTAATAATAATACAGAGGTCTATACCTTTGTCAACGCGCACTACCATCGTTTTCATGGCACGATCACTTGTTCTATCCTACTAGCATTTTGGACCATTGTATTAGCATAGATGGACAGACTTAAGTTGAATCCCTTATCTTAGTCACACTTGGGTATCTTTGCCAAGCTGGGTGCAGAACTGCCTAAATCAGCTTTTAACACCCTGCGAGGACTTCAGCCTTCACGTTAATCACCTGGTGCCGGCTGATATTTTTTTTCACTTGTACGGTGAGAGGTATTATTTGCCTCTTCCACATTGTCAGTTATACGATCGAAGATTTCTGGTTTTTGGTCCTCCCCCTTCCTCTATTTTTTATCCAGCTTGTTGTTTTCGAACATTCGGAAATGCGAAGTTCTACTACCTTGCTGTGTCTTCTCATCAGATTTATTATGGCAAATCCTCTCGCCTTAATTTGCTACAGGACTCTCATAGTTGTTGTGACTTCCATAGCATATATCCCCACGCTGACTATCCTCATATATTTAACCCATCATTCTTCCATCCTTTTTTCCCTTTCTTTTCATATTAATGAAGTCACTGAGACCGAACGGTCGTCGAGATTCCATCACTTTCCTCTCTCCACATCTTTCCCTTCCACGCGGACTGGGTCACAAAAAAGAAAAGAGTATGAAAAGAAACGAACCAACAAGATGACAACTGACTCTTATAGCCCACCAATCTGCACTGATAATAATTACAAAAATATATTATAAATGAAGTTTTATTCACAATAACAATCTAAGATACATTTAGTATCGTGGCCCCTAGCTGACAACTATTAATAAATACTAGTTACACATAATAAACAGCTCAATTTCTTCTTTGCTCGCGGATTAGCCATCCTCAATGGAGGGCCTGCTCGGATGGTGGGCTCAATCTCAATCCCTACCCCAATCGCTTTCCCCAATTCCACTTCTCTCTCTTCTCCTTCAATCCTTCCACTCCGTCGATCCCCTCTCCTCTCCCACTGCAACCGACGCCGCCGCCTCCAATTCCGGCCCCTGGTTCTCGTTTCCTCTGCCGCGGGTGTCGCCGCCAATTCTGTCCCCAGAAATGGGTCCTACACCGTCGGCGACTTCATGACCACCAGGGAGTATCTGCACGTCGTCAAGCCCACCACCACCGTCGACCAAGGTATAATCTTGGCGCGACCTCGAACCCTCAGACCCTCGAAGCTCAGGCGCTTTGCTTACTGATTTATGCTAATTGATTGATTGGTTTTTCTATTTTTTGCAGCATTGGATGCTCTTGTGGAGAAGAGAATCACCGGTTTTCCTGTGATTGACGATGACTGGAAACTCGTAAGTCAATAAAAAATCTCATCTTTTTTGTTTCCCTTTTGTTATTTATATATAATTATATAAAATATGTAATTTGTTAAAATTTATGTAATTTTTTTTTAACAAATGATATTCTCTACAGTAGTGGTTCAAATTCGCCTTTGACGAAAACGAAAATTGAACCTAAAACCTATCAGTTTCATGTAACAAAGGAATACATTAGACCGTAATACTAAGTGGCTATAAAATATGTAATTAGATTCTCCATTTGTACAAAAAAATGTATTAGCATAGTTTACGAAGTTTTGTGGAAAGATGTTCACCTGTTTGGGTTAACAACTTGGTATTGTCTGCATATGATTTTGTTTTGCTTGCTTACACCTTTATTTGTGGGTTTGTTTAATGTTCTGCAGGTTGGTGTTGTTTCAGATTACGACTTGTTAGCGTTGGATTCCATATCCGGAAATATAAAAGGTGTGCATGTTTCTACATCTGAAGCATTAAAACTTTTATTTTCTTGCTTCCTGTTTTTGGGTTTGTTTTGACTCTTGAGGACAAAAAATTAAATTTTTTCATATCATAATACATAACATCCTTTTTTGACATAACAAGTTAGTATATCTATTGAGTTTGGTCGGCTGTTAGGAAATCTTAATGTTGGTTAGTGACTTCTGTGAGAATGTTAGACGTGTCAAGCTATCTGAATGCGTAAAGTTGAATCTTCAGAAAACCTGGGCTTATGAGCATATGCTAAGGATAATGCAAATGTTAACGGAATGTCAAAAATAATTTAAGAGTTCCTTTGGATGCAAGGTATCTGAATATGTAAAGTTCTATTCTAGTTTTCTCTTGGTATTAGTGACAATAATTTTATCTTTTGAATGTCCAATGATTTACAAATTTGATAAAGAGGTAATCATTCACAAAGAAAAGGATTGAGGGGAGAATTGCATTATGCGAGTGAATATTTGTTATACTTGTTTATACCATATTTAGGGCCTCGTATTTAGACCTCGTATAAATACTCGAGGGACTTAAATGTAATTATGTAATAAAGGAAAGGGCAAATATGTAATAAGTGAGGAGTCCTTATTCTATAAAAGGACCCCTCACCCTCACAATTAGGGGAGGCCAATTCCTAAGGCTCCTCACCCCCTCTCAACGCTCTCACTCTCAGAGCTCTCTCTCCCTCAGATAAATACATAATCAGTGTGGACGTAGCCCAAACCTTGGGGTGAACCACGATATATTTTGTGTTATTTACATTACTTGCATATTCACGGTCGGGTTTACGTTGTTCCAAGACCTCCGGTTTTGTGCATCAACATTTGGCGCCGTCTGTGGGAATCGACACGAAAAGTTATGTCGGTTTTCTCTCAATTTTTCACCTCCGCCGTGAATCTGCAAAATCACAAAAACCCAAGAAACCAAATCTCTCTCTTTCTCCTCTCTCGGTCAGTTATACACTCAGTCAGTCATACACAGAAACCAAAACAAAAAGAAAACCTCAAAAAATCTCTCTAACTCTCTCAATTAGTCCTCCAAACGGCAATAGAGTACGCCCAGAAGCTTAACACTCTCAAAAAGTCTCTCAAACTATCTCTGAGCTTCTGTAGTCCACGCATGGCTCCGGGGCATAGACGCGGAGCGAGCAAGGCCAAGGATAAGAGCAAGTTGAGTCTCGGCGATCTTGTCCTTGCTAAGGTCAAGGGCTTCCCCTATTGGCCCGCCAAGATTAGTAGGCCTGAAGATTGGAAGAAGGTCCCTGATCTAAAGAAATATTTTGTCCAATTTTTTGGAACGGAAGAGATCACCTCGAGACCAAGTCAGGGACGTTGTGGGTCGCCGACGTCAAGGACCCGACGTCGGCTCCGGTGGTGATGTTCGAGAAGCCGTTGCTGAACTTGACGTTTAAGGACTTGATTGCTGCAACGTCGCACTTTGGCAAGGACTCCCAGCTCGCCGAGGGATGCTCATGTTGGTGAAGCCAGATTCTCCGATCTGGAAACATCTCTTCTGGTTTTCTCCTTAAATTATTTTCTAGGGTTGCAGGGTTCTCTGGTCTGCCCCTTTCTCGAGGGACTCAAAATTTTCTTGCTGGTACTTGAGATTTCCCGGGAAATCGGCTTCTGGGGTTTTCCGGAATTCGATTTTCGTGTTCGGAAAGGTGAGAAAATGGTGAGGGGGAAGACTCAGATGAAGTGCATCGAAAATACAGCGAGCCGGCAAGTGATTTTTTCCAAGAGAAGGAGTGGGCTGCTGAAGAAAGCCTTTGAGCTTTCAATCCTGTGTGATGCTGAAGTTGCACTTGTGATCTTCTCCGCAAGAGGGAAGCTCTATGAGTTTTCGAAGATATAGTGGTTGCAGACAGAAAGCAATGCCTGTTCAACTTTGTTCCTGCCCTCAGTGAGAAGTCTGCAGATTTGTCCCTGAAATATGAAGCATCACCATCGTGGCCAACTTGCAGATTCAAGGGTGCACATGCATGACAGCTCAGAGACAGAAAGAGAGGAAAGTGAAGAGAAGAAGGCAAAAGCGGAGATAAGATTATTTTCTTACTATTAAAACTATTATCATTTCTTGTCTGCCATATTTATCAGGGTCAAGAAACAGAAAGAAAATTAGAAACAAAAGCAGAAAAGAAAAGCAAAAACAAAAGCAAAAGAGAAAGCAAAAACAAGGAATAAACACCCCACCAGAATGATGTGATTTACTTTTCTTATTTTTGACTGATGTAATTTATTTTCCGTATCTTTCGGAGATATCTGTATAAACCCCCATCAGAGGGTACAACAACAACAACAACAACAACAACAACAAAGCCTTTTCCCACTAAGTGGGGTCGGCTATATGAATCCTAGAACGCCATTGCGCTCGGTTTTGTGTCATGTCCTCCGTTAGATCCAAGTACTCTAAGTCTTTTCTTAGAATCTCTTCCAAAGTTTTCCTAGGTCTTCCTCTACCCCTTCGGCCCTGAACCTCTGTCCCGTAGTCACATCTTCGAACCGGAGCGTCAGTCGGCCTTCTTTGCACATGTCCAAATCATCGGAGCCGATTTTCTCTCATCTTTCCTACAATTTCGGCTACTCCTACTTTACCTCGGATATCCTCATTCCCAATCTTATCCTTTCTCGTGTGCCCACACATCCCACGAAGCATCCTCATCTCCGCTACACCCATTTTGTGTACGTGTTGATGCTTCACCACCCAACATTCTGTGCCATACAACATCGCTGGCCTTATTGCCGTCCTATAAAATTTTCCCTTGAGCTTCAGTGGCCTACGACGGTCACACAACACGCCGGATGCACTCTTTCCATCCAGCTCGTATTCTATGGTTGAGATCTCCATCTAATTCTCCGTTCTCTTGCAAGATAGATCCTAGGTAGCGAAAACGGTCGTTTTTTGTGACCTTCGCTAGATTGCTCCGGTCATTAGTGTGGATAAGTATATAAATGGATAGAGATAGGAAAGCAAACACAAGATGTACGTGGTTCACCCAGATTGGCTACGTCCACGGAATAGAAGAGTTCTCAGTAATTGTGAAGGGTTTACACAAGTACATAGGTTCAAGCTCTCCTTTAGTGAGTACAAGTGAATGATTTAGTACAAATGACATTAGGAAATATTGTGGGAGAATGATCTCGTAATCACGAAACTTCTAAGTATCGGAGTGTGGTGTCGTCTTGACTTGCCTTATCTGTCTCATAGGTAGATGTGGCATCTTCTCTGGAAGTACTCTTCCTCCATCCAGGGGTGGTATCTTTAACTGGTGGAGATGCACAAGGTAATGTATCAATTTCACTTGAAGCTTACTTGTAGTTTCAGGCTTGGTCAAGCGCGATACAAACCATGTAGTAGGAGTCCCCCAAGTCGCCGAGCTAGGGGGTCTGCTGAAAGAGGTGACAGACAAGGTAAGCAATCAGAGCTCCGACTGATTGTTCACCTTCTCCCCATCTTGCAGCAGCATGAAGGATAAAGAGAAGAAAAATGAGAAGAGATGATATGAGATACTTTTGCTTTTGAAGAAGTAACTTTCCACAGGCTTATTCTTGAACTGAGCTGGAGGGTTTTCTGGTTTCCTCCAGAGTATAAGGCCGACTGAAGAATTTGAGGGTCAAAACAAGTCCATCAAATCTAGAGTACGTTCCACCCTGCTGATATGGGATACTTTTGCTTTTGACAGAGTAATGGATGTATCGGCACGTGTGCTGTTACGCTTGTCTCCACATGCTTCCTTGTATCCTTCGCACTTGCCCTATATGTTCCTCAAGCAGATGCGGAATCTTCCCTAGAAACATAAGATGTTGAAGATGAGTACTCGAGAGCAATGCCAGGTAAGTAATCAGGTAAGGGGTTCCAGGCAGTCAGTTCCTGGCTGGAAGCTTGATTCCAAGTGCTGACTGATTGCTCTCTTTCTCCTTGTCTTGCAGGTAAAAACAAGGCCAAAAGAAAAGACAGGGAAAAAGCATGATATGGGATACTCTTGCTTTTAACCCTGATGATATGAGATATTCTTGCTCTAGTATAGCTTGTTTGCAGATGTATTATCGGGGGGAAAGAAAGCTGAATATTTCGAAAGGCTTCGTTGGGAGTGCCCTCTCAGATATGATGAAGGGTTGAGCATTTTTGCAGGTCTGCCTGTCCGTTGGGGATGGAGGTCGACATATATAGGAGTCTCCCTAACAACAAGTAGTAATGCTATTCCTTTACCCTGCTTGGTCATAGCACGGTAGTGGGAGCTGCCAGTTTCACATGTTTTAACTCTGTCAGAGCACTTTGAAAAAGTGGTCTGTGGTATCTGGCTCTCGAGATTCGGAGAACGATGCCTCTTCGATTTTTGAGAAAGCAATCATGCTGGGGGTCTGACTCTCGAGATTCGGAGAGCAGTGTCTCTTCGATTTTTTAGAAAGTAATCATGTTGGGAGTCTGGCTCTCGAGATTCGGAGGGCGGTGCCTCTTCGATTTTGGAGCAAGCAATCTTGTTGGGAGTGTTGTCTCGAATGTGAGTAAAGGTTGGGCATGTTTGCTAGTCTACCTTGCCACGAAGCACAAAGGTTGACACACAGGGACTTTCCAATTATCCAGCAATGGTACTATTCCTTTACCCTCTCTTCGATTTTGAGAAAGTAGTCATGTTGGGAGTCTGGCTCTCGAGATTCGGAGGACGGTGCCTCTTCGATTTTGGAGCAAGCAATCTTGTTGGGAGTGTTTTCTCGAATGTGAGTAAAGGTTGGGCATGTTTGCTAGTCTACCTTGCCACGAAGCACAGAGGTTGACACACAGGGACTTTCCAATTATCCAGCAGTGGTACTGTTCCTTTACCTTGTGGGTAATAATATGGTAGCTAGACCTTCAAAATTTATGTGTCTAAACTTTGTTAGTGCTGTTTCTTTGCTATTCTTTTACCTTTCTTGGTCAGAGCGATGTAGTGGGAGCTGCAAGCTTCACGTGCTCAACTTTGGCAGAGAACTTTGGCAAAGTTATCTGTGGTACCCATGAGCTATTGTTGCGTGTGGGAAGTGGGTGATTGAACAGTAAGATTCATGTGCTTTCTACTTCACCAGAAGTCTTCGACAGAATGCCCATAATTTCTGCAAAGCTGAGTGTGCGTGTGACAGGTGCTGACAAGGCTAGAAAAGTAGGTGCCTCTTCGATTTCTGAGATCGGCCCTTGTGGTCTCTGAGCAGCCCAGCTTTTGAGAAAGCGAGCGCCTCTTCGATTGATTCGGAGAACGATGCCTCATCGATTTTTGAGAAAGCAATCATGCTGGGGGTCTGGCTCTCGAGATTCGGAGAGCAGTGTCTCTTCGATTTTTTAGAAAGTAATCATGTTGGGAGTCTGGCTCTCGAGATTCGGAGGGCGGTGCCTCTTCGATTTTGGAGCAAGCAATCTTGTTGGGAGTGTTTTCTCGAATGTGAGTAAAGGTTGGGCATGTTTGCTAGTCTACCTTGCCACGAAGCACAGAGGTTGACACACAGGGACTTTCCAATTATCCAGCAATGGTACTGTTCCTTTACCCTCTCTTCGATTTTTAAGAAAGTAGTCATGTTGGGAGTCTGGCTCTTGAGATTCGGAGGACGGTGCCTTTTCGATTTTGGAGCAAGCAATCTTATTGGGAGTGTTTTCTCGAATGTGAGTAAAGGTTGGGCATGTTTGCTAGTCTACCTTGCCACGAAGCACAGAGGTTGACACACAGGGACTTTCCAATTATCCAGCAGTGGTACTGTTCCTTTACCCTTGTGGGTAATAATATGGTAGCTAGACCTTCAAAATTTATGGGTCTAAACTTTGTTAGTGCTGTTTCTTTGCTATTCTTTTACCCTTCTTGGTCAGAGCGATGTAGTGGGAGCTGCCAGCTTCACGTGCTCAACTTTGGCAGAGAACTTTGGCAAAGTTATCTGTGGTACCCATGAGCTATTGTTGCGTGTGGGAAGTGGGTGATTGAACAGTAAGATTCATGTGTTTTCTACTTCCCCAGAAGTCTTAGACAGAATGCCCATAATTTCCGCAAAGCTGAGTGTGCGTGTGACAGGTGCTGACAAGGCTAGAAAAGTAGGTGCCTATTCGATTTCTGAGATCGGCCCTCGTGGTCTCTGGGGAGCCCAGCTTTTGAGAAAGCGAGCGCCTCTTCGATTTCTGAGATCGGCCTTCGTGGCCTTTGAGCAGCCCAACTTTTGAGAAAGCAAACGCCTCTTCGATTTCTGAGATCAACCCTCGTGATCTCTAAGCAGCCTAGCTTTTGAGAAAGCAAACGCCTCTTCGATTTCTGAGCAGGCGCCTCTTCGATTTCTGAAGCTCCGTCGAGTGCAGATTTTTATAGGGGCTGGCATTAAGTTCCAAAGCACACTTGAATCTCCACCAGTAGAAGCTTCATTCTTGCACTTCTAAGATCTTGATTTGTCCGACCTCTTCTCTCTTCAACACCTTTGAAAATGTCTGGCCCCTCCGACCGTCGTTTTGACTTGAACCTTGTTGAAGAGGCAGCCCCGCCTTCTCCAGACAACATATGGCGCCCATCCTTCGTCTCCCCTACTGGTCCTCTTACCGTTGGGGATTCCGTGATGAAGAATGATATGACCGCTGCGGTGGTGGCCAGGAACCTTCTCACTCCCAAAGATAACAGACTACTTTCCAAACGGTCTGATGAGTTAGCTGTTAAGGATTCGCTGGCTCTCAGTGTTCAGTGTGCAGGTTCTGTGTCTAATATGGCCCAACGCCTATTTGCTCGAACCCGCCAAGTTGAATCATTGGCGGCTGAAGTGATGAGTCTCAAACAGGAGATTAGAGGGCTCAAGCATGAGAATAAACAGTTGCACCGGCTCGCACATGACTATGCTACAAACATGAAGAGGAAGCTTGACCAGATGAAGGAAACTGATGGTCAGGTTTTTACTTGATCATCAGAGATTTGTGGGTTTGTTCCAAAGACATTTATTGCCTTCGTCTTCTGAGGCTGTACCGCGTAATGAAGCTCCAAATGATCAACCTCTGATGCCTCCTCCTTCTAGGGTTCTGTCCAGTACTGAGGCTCCAAATGATCCCCCTCCGGTGCCTTCTCTTTCTGGGGCTCTACCGACTGCTGAGACTTCTCCTAAGCAACCTTTGTGAAGGCTCCCTCTTGTGTGTTTATTTTGACTCATGTATATGTACATATTTGTAGCTTATCGGGGATATCAATAAATAAGTTTTCCTTCATTTCAACGTATTGTGTTAAATACACCAAAGCCTTCTTCGCTAAGTTCTTTGAATTTTCTTTTGTTGAAACTTGTATGTTGAAGCTAAACCCCCATCAGAGGGTATAAAAAAAAAAAAAAAAAAAAGAAGAAAAAAACGGCAAAGCCCAAAATAAATGGGCTGGAATGTTGTGTGGAGAGCGAAGGCCCATAAGCCCAAAATAGCACTAACCAGGTCATCAAAAGTACGCCCAGTACTTCACAATTATTCGGCAACCCGCCGCTATTATCACCAACCAGGTGACCAAAAGTACGCCCAGTACTCCAAAATTATTCGGCAACTCGCCGCTATTACCACCAACCATGTGATGAGATGTACAACCCGTACTCTAATTTGGCAACTAGCCATTCATGCCACCAACTAGGTGATGAAATGTACAACCCGTACTCTCCTTCATGCCACCAACCAGGTGATCAAAAGTACGCCTAGTACTTTAAATTATACATGAGCATTACTCATGTCATACATAAACATTCATGAGCATCACTCATAACAATCATACTTAAACATTCATGACCATCATTCATGTCAACATTCATGAGCATCACTCATGTTAACTTTCATGTCTATCAACATAAACATTCATGAGCATCACTCATGTCAATCAGCTTCAAAAGCTCCATTTACAAAAGCTCTAGCTTCAAAAGCTTCATTTACAGAGCTCCAGCTTCAAAGCTTCACTTGCAAAGCTTCACTTACAAAGCTTCAGTGCAGGGTATATAAATACCGCCTCCGAACAACCGCCACTTCGGCCATACATGGATTCAATTTGAAGTCTCCAGCCAACAGACTCTATTGACCGAAGACTTGGGGACTACATTATGTACCATATATTGGGCCTCAACTGGGCCTCATGAAAAATACTTGGGGGGCTTAGCCCATTATTTATGTATTAAGGAGCGAGCCCTTATTCTATAAAAGGGACTCCCTCACTTTCATTAGAGAGCACCCATTATTCATGTATTGAGGAGCGATCCCTTATTCTATAAAAAGGACTCCCTCACCACCATTAGAGAGCAACGCCGCCAGCTGAGCAACCGCCTCGCCGCGAGCATCACTCCTAACCCATCACTTATGTATTGAAGAGCGAGCCCTTATTCTATAAAAGGGACTCCCTCACCATCATTAGAGAGCATCGCCGCCTACTGAGCAACCGTCTCGCCGCGAACATCAACTCTAGCCTATCATTCATGTATTGAGGAGCAAGCCCTTATTTTATAAAAGGAACTCCCTCACCGTCAAACGCCACAAGCCGAACCAACCAAGGCAACATAAGCCACGAGCCTCGCAGCCTCGCAGCGTGTGCTACTTCTAGTTGAGCATCATTTCAGATTGAGCACCGTCTCATCTCGAGCATCAGTTCAAGACAACATTTAGTTACTTCGGCCCACACATGGACTGAATTTCAAGTCTCCAGCCAAAAGACTCTCTTGACTGAAGACTTGGGGGACTACTGTTTATACCATATTTAGGGCCTCGTATTTAGACCTCGTATAAATACTCGGGGGACTTCAATGTAATTATGTAATAAAGGAAAGGGCAAATATGTAATAAGTGAGGAGTCCTTATACTATAAAAGGACCCCTCACCCTCACAATTAGGGGAGGCCAATTCCTAAGGCTCCTCACCCCCTCTCAACGCTCTCACTCTTAGAGCTCTCTCCCCCTCAGATAAATACATAATCAGTGTGGACGTAGCCCAAACCTTGGGGTGAACCACGATATATTTTGTGTTATTTACATTACTTGCAGATTCACGGTCAGGTTTACGTTGTTCCAGACCTCCGGTTTTGTGCATCAACAATACTAGTTTTTGACATCAAGTAAATATATCTCCATATTCGTTTCTTCTTACGTTGAAAAAGCGTGAGAAGAACAGAATAATCAAGTAATCAACTTATCATCTGTTCTACTTGAATCTTTGGTCAACTGTTGATTTTCATTACATTGCATCAACAATTGTAGTTTCATTAAAGATATCACTTAATTATTTAACTTTGCCAATGTAGTGGCGTTTATGCATTGTGGATTGCCACTTATGCCTGGGATTTTTAGTTAGGGGACCTTGAGGTTTTTGCCTTTAGGGGCATTCAGTAAACTCCTAAAAGTGGGCCATGATACTTATATTAACATGAGAGGAATTTGAATGGTTAAGGACACTCCCCCCTCTCTCCAAAAAGAAAAAAAGAAAATAAGTACCAGCACAAAGTTTGAGTATGTGAATAATTACCAAGATTAGCTACAAAAAAGTTCTTAAATAGAGTAAGGTCATAAGGAACTTCACAAAAACATAAAAAGATAAATATGGTCTTGTTGCTTTGTAGCTTGGAAAAACCCAGTTTTCAACAAGTGGAAACAAAAACAAAATAATATCGTAAGCTATACCACAAAGAGATGAAGCAATTGCAGCGTAGAATTACTTGAAATATTGATTTTCTCACATATTTAGCTGCAATGTTTAGACCTGAGTTTAATGAAGGTTGCACTTGGTTAGAGAGCCTAAAGTAATAGATTGGGGACCTAAGGCAAGTGTCTCAACTGGGGCTTGCCTTGGGGGTTCTTTGTTAGCTCTAACTTAGTTCTTCCTTTTGTTTTCTTTTTGGGGAGAAATGAAAGGAGACTTATATAATTATTATTTTGCTCTCAGGTGGTGGTCAAAGTGACACAAACTTGTTTCCAGATGTTGATAGTTCTTGGAAAGTATGTAAGAAGTTGGTTTTTTACTACATTAATTTTTAATTTCGTTTACAACTAGTCTCTGCTGCACTGTCTATTTTGTTTCAAATATATGATGGATGATATTTTTCTCGCTTAACGTGGATTATAATGTTGATTTGCAACTCTTGATAAATTTCATGAAATGCTAATATATATGTCAGTTGTACACATGTACGCCACATGCGGTTTATGGACCTACAGTTACACACTACCTCATACTGTGTATTTTTCTCGCTTGCCTTGCAAGACTGTTGGAGTTGAGAATTCTTTAGAGATATGGATTTTATAGTTATAAATGGCAATGTTAGTTTGTGGTTTTGTGGTGGGAAAGAATAGAAGAGTTTTGATGATCGAGAAAAAGATGTGTCTTCATTATAGGAGAGAATTAGATATTTCCTTTCCCTTGGGATTCACTTTCTAGACATTGTTCCTTTCAGTTAAATCTCATTTTGTGGGTTAAGGGTTGTGTTAGTTCTTGGTCTAGTTTTAGTTTTGTGGGACTTCGTTAGTATTAGTTTTCTTGTATTATTGACTTTCTTGTCCGTTGTTATAAAAATATTCTGTCATTTGTAAGCTTGTTAGTATGACGTTGATTAGCATTAGCCTGTACCTGACATAATGATAATCTTTTCCTGTGCTCACCACGATGATAGATGTTTTTGTTACTTCTTTTTCACCCGTACTATCCTTTCATGTGACTGACTAGTGTAACTCATAACTCAGCATTCAGCAAGAATGCCCAAATGTGGGATACAGTATGTAGCCTAAAATTATAACTGTGCTTATGCATATTACTTTAAGTAATGCGTAGATCAGTAAATGTATGGTTAATTGCTTCATGAATTTCTTTCTAAATTTGGATGAGTGTTGCAGACATTCAATGAGATACAGAAACTGCTTAGCAAGACCAATGGAAAAGTTGTTGGTGACTTGATGACACCTGCTCCGCTTGTTGTTCGTGAAACCACCAACCTGGGAGATGCGGCTAGGTAAAGGATTTAACTAATTTTCCTAATTTCTTATTTGTGGTCAGAAAAATTTCTTGAAGCATAAATGTTCAATTTTGCTATGACTACGTTTATTTGAGATTGAGAATATTGATGACAGGCTGAGATTTAGTTGGAGTAGAACTAAATATCTCGTACAAGTGCTCTAACTTGTTAATGTTATGATTCTGTCTTTTCATGCTAGGATGTGCTAAAATGTTATGCAATGTGCAGTTAGATGCAGTTTAAGTTATTAAACTCAACTTTAAACGATCTCTATGTTTTGGTAGGTTGTTGCTTGAAACAAAATATCGCCGACTGCCAGTTGTAGATTGTGAAGGCAAGCTGGTAATTATCCTTTTCTCTCTCCTAAATTCGAACAAAAATATAAAATATCTTCTCCGTTGGATGCCAAACTGCTGCTAGTTGTTTTTGATTGCTTTCTTATCCGTGTCAAAAGGTTGGGATCATTACGAGGGGGAATGTTGTTAAAGCTGCCCTGCAGATAAAACGTGCGAGTGAAAATAAGCTTAGTTGAGGGGATCATCGGTGGAGCTCACAAAAAGTCGCTTCAATATCACATTTATTTCTGCAATGCACACTATTAAGAGGCCGGCCACTTATACTATTTGAAGGAAAGTTTATCATTTATGTCCTTCAGAAGGGATATATTATAGCTTTCTAGGAACCTTGCCTTAATATATAGTATAGATTGCCTTAAGGCAGGGTACTTCCACTTGTATTTAGGGTTGTAAACTTATCAAACATAGTTTTGTGTAGGATAAGATCCGACTTGCATTTGTCCTACGCCAAATTTTGTATTGTTACGTCTTAAAGACGATGATTATTGATGGTTATAGTTTATAATGAGCTTTCCCAACATAGCTCTTACTTTGGTGTTTGAGATTGCTCATTGTTCATGGTCTTCATGCTCCCAACCACCCATTCAATTGGGTGGTTGAAAGAACACTGAATAATTTCAAGGGGACCCTTCAATCATGTAGATCCTCTGGGGATTTCGCTTATCAAAAGTGGCTTATGGCTTGTGGCTTGTGACGCTCCTCACAACAAGGATTCTGTTTTGACATCATTGTATTCTAGTTGTGGTGAGTGATTTTCAAAGCTAATCTTGCTCGGACATTCTCAATTGGGAATTGTTATTAGGGGATTCTAAAATAGTCATTCTCTATTCAGCCCTCTGTTGTTCTTTTATTAGAGGAGTGCATCACGATTTTGACTTTTCTTAAAGCGCCAATAACGGGGGTCTGGCTTTAATATTATGTTCTACTCAGTGATAACGGAGTTCTAAAAGAGTGGCTGTAAAAGAGTTTGCTTGGAAGTGTTTTTGAAAGTATTACTTCTTAGAAAAAACACTTGGACGAGCTTTGTTTGTGATTGCTTGATAAAATCGTTTTTCTAAAAGTGATTCTAGCTCATATAAAAGCACTTTTCTGGAGAATATGCTTCTTTAGTAAGTACTTTCTAGAAATGCAATTCCAAACGGAACATTCTTTTTGCTTCTTGAGAAAGCATTGAAAAAAGATACTTTTAACTCAAAACGGTTCTAGTTTTTGTGTCAAACAATTGCTTTTATAATCAATTTCAGTCAAATATTTAACTAATTTCTCTGAATTTGTATCTCATTGCTGACTTGCCCCTTAAATTAATATTTTGGCCAATTTGTCATACGAATAATGTTAGGGAGACCAAATTTGCAAACAAAGTGATGTGTCACCGATAAGAATATAAGTACGTTAATCAACACTTAAGTAATAATCTAATTATTAACATCTACATTATTTGATTTCCCCATGAATGCTAAGGAGACCAAATATAAAATCAGATTTGCAAATCAAATGATGTGTCACAAATAAAAAATAAGTACATTAATCAACACTTCAGTAATAATCCAATTATCAACTTTCACATTATTTGATTTACAAAATTTTATTTAAATATTTGATTTTCCTAGCATTATTCCTTATTGAATACTAAGAAAGGTAGCAATATTAGATGGACGGTTGCCGTCAATAATTTTTCACTTAAAATAAAGAAAAGTTAGGGAAATAAATTTCTTTTTATGTCTATAAATCCTTTGTCCATCACTTTATAAATAACTTAATTTGAACCAAAAGAACAACCTTTTTCACTGTTGAATTGAGTATCAACACTTGACACAATCAATTGGTGAAAGTTACAAGTTGGTGATACAATGAAGAGTTAATTGGAGCAATGATTTATTAATTTTAGTTAATTTAAGCTTTGATTCTCAAACTAAAAGTTTACGAGTATTAGTCTCTTAACTTATTACAAATTTACAATGTGTAACAATTGTCTTTTTGAGTAATTTTGTTAGGATTTTTGTCATTTTTAGTTTTTTATGGAATTTCTAACGATGTTATTCAAAAGCACTATTACTCTACATTGTGAAAAATTTAGAACTGATACTTATGAATTTTTAATTCAGGAACCAAAACTTCAATTGAGTATGACTTCATGTATCAATACTCATGAAAATTGGATGTCATACATTCACACTTAAACATGAATATGGGCAGTAAATTGGTAAAGTTTTTAGTTTCGGTGGTATTTGTTCATGCCCTAACATGTGGTATTTGTGAAATTTTCCCTTTGAAAGAATGAATTCATTTCATCATCATTGTTATGAGCTATATGGCGTATTTAGGTTACTAAGTATGACGTACGTGTGTACTCATAATTTTATACTTAACCCGAGGACGGAAATAAAACCTAATGGAAAACTAGGGTTTAACAAAAAGATTATCTTATATGAGGATGACAAATCTAGCTTTCCATATAGACATTTTTTTTCTTTTTTATTTTTTTGAGCGAAAACTTTCTGTATAGAAAATAAGAAAACTGCTACGTATTACAAATATATCGATTTCGGGGGTGCATCTATGGTTCTACTTCAAGAAGCAACCCCCCTGGCCCTGTGGTCTCTGACATACCATGAACAAACATCTGCAACAACAGATCTTTTGTGTATCTTACCATCTATATATCAGAGTACTAAAGATATACAAAATTTTCCCCAGACATGCATAATATCTTCCAAGCAGAAGAGCTTGGTACCACAGATTATGTATATATATCAGGCTGACAGACTGTAAAGTTCTCTAGTAATTTCCCTGAAGCCACCTATTGTTTTGTTTCGAATAGAAGCACTTGGATGATCAAAAGAATTCATGTCCGAAGAACACTCACGTTTTCTAAACCTTTCACAGAGAGTACTGTCAAACTAATGTGACAAGACACAAAACACACGCGCACACATCTTCACATAATGCATATAGCCCCACTCATTTGGTCTGCACTCTTTACAGCTGGTACGTATAAAGCTTTTTGAAAGAGTGTTTTAGAATCCCGTGTTTAAGGCACTTCATATATATGTTGATATATATATGTATATATATATATAAAAGCTTCCATCAATTTTGGATCGTGAGCTTAATGAGCACAAGAGTACCTCTCATTCTTCCAATTATCTGCACTGCAGCTCTCACTTTTTTTCAAGGGATCCAAAAGATTGAGATTGAAGACTTTAAACACTACTAGTTGCTCTGATATAGCTGGAAGCCAATACCATTTCCAACCATCTGAATTGATATATGATTTGACCTCTCACGTACTCAAAACAAAACTCTCCCTGCATGATTATTATGGCATAGTAGAGAAATGCTAAAGAAAATAGCTTTTGGAGCGTCAATATTGTAACAGTTGATATATGTGTAAAAAATGTATATTAATTTGTTACTGTAAATTGTGAAATCTGTTGATCCATGAATTGAGGACTTGTATTCCAATTAGGATGCTTGGTCATACATAATGACCATCCGTATGTACTTAAATACGTAAATTTATGTAGGTACATACGTAAATATTTTATGTAGGAGGCCGATATAAGCATATAAAAACTTTTGGCCTTTCCTGCAGTCACAAGCTAGCCACTTCACCATTATCTGGTTTCACCAATAATGCTTCGTAGTTTGGAAAATATTTGCTTCATTTTGTTTTGCTGTGATACCTGTACGTCAATCAGTGTTCTCACGGTTCAATTGAAGCCAGAAAATGAAGGTTCGTGTTTGACTTTTTCAGATGGTCCTATATGCATGCAAAGCATGTAAGCATTCTGAGAATCTATAAGGGGGTCACATATATAGCATTTGATGATCGATCGTTCTAAAATATTCAAATCATAAACGGCTCTCGTTAGAATTTTTTAACTATATTATTTATATTCCAAACTCTAAATCATATAAAATGTCCTACGTATTGAGCGTGTGATATATATTTTATTACTATTTGTTTTCTAAAGAGAACTCCATAACTTTTTGAATAAATCATTTCTACTAAAAACTTATTGATTGATCACAAATTCAAGTAACTCGAAACTAATCAAATTCACATTTGTTAAAGAGTTTCAACATTTAAAACATGGTATAGATAATAGAATTAATAACATCATTTTTCTTCACTTGTAAGTGATAGATCTTAGGTTCGATTATCGTCAAAGACGAATTTGAACCAAATTGCTAGCCCATTGACTTACCCCTTTCTCCTTTAGTGTAGAAAAAAAAAAGATTGTTAAAAAAAAAAATAACATCATTTTTCTTTGCTCCATTCATTAACATATTTTTTATGGGAAACTTTGGATCGGTCCCTAATCCTTAACATTCTTTGATTAAAACCTTAATAGTATTCAAAGTTTGATCAAGGTCCCTTGACTTTGTACACCTCATTATATTACTATTAATATTAATATTTTTATAGTTTTGACATTAATTGTTTGATATTTTATGAGATTTATAATCCTATAAATTTAAAATCCCTAATTATAATACTATTAGAAACGGTTACAATAAAAAAATTCAAACATTTTGATTGAATAAATGGATAAAATGACACACCCCGACCTAAAATCAAGGCGTGCTGGCCGTCACGTGAGGGTGACTTAGCCATGTGTATAGTGTGGAAGCGATAAGGATATGAAATATATGAATAAATAAGAACCGAAAGCTAACTAATGTGCACTAATAAGTAGAAAGTGCTAGGAATGAGATACAAGTGTAAATACACCTAATCAGAGCATAGAAGTCTAGGTGTAGTCCAGTAGGACAAATACTAGTTATACAGTACCAGAAGAAGTCCTACGAATAATATACTTTGTCAGAACTGCCAAGATCCACAAATTTCACCAACATGAAGTCTATCTATAACCTGGAGGGGCGCAAAACATAAAGTGTGAGTGGGTAAAAACAAAGATTTTCAAAAATCATTTCATTTATCAAATGCTCAAACCCCTCACCGTAAAACATGTATAATTTTCTTAGAAATGGAATATAAATATAAATATAAATATAAATATATATATATATATATATATATATATATATATATATCAAATCATGCTTCACATATCCAAAATCATAAGTATGCCATGCCAAAAATATAAAACAGAATAAGTAACTCAGGTGAAAATAAATTCATGGAAAATAACATATTAGCCAGAACCCCTGCAGAAGTCTGTACGGTTAAATTCATAGCTCATTAATTAATCTAGCCAGAGTCACTACAAGTGACCTATACGGCACTACAAGTGACCTATACGGCACTACACTGCACACGAGTCGGAACCATTGAAAGGGTCTGTACGACAAGACTAGGTGTAATATAGTTATGCTCAATGCTACGCACTCATGATAGCTATGCGATAAATCGCTTGTCATCTACGAGTCGGAACCACCTATGATGGTCTGTACGACAAGACTGTGCACCTAAATTGGATCCAATGTGAGCATAGGGGGCGGGAGGTGACATTATAAACAGGCCTGTACCATATCTCTGACTAAATCACAATCACTCGGGGTGCAGGTTTAT